TCTTTCCAGTCACATAGCACTGTATTTTGAGAGTTGTTTAAGTGAGAGAAAATCTGTAACTTAGTCCAGATTGGGGGAATTGTAATGTTTAATAATTTATTTTATTATGTAAATAATTTTTGCATTGAAATTTGCATAGATTTTTGTTTGTATATGCTGTCAATTATAGTGCTTAGAAAGAAAATCGGAATCTGCAAAAAATCGGTATCGGCAGGTCACACTTCCAAAAAATCGGCCAAGAAAATTCTGTGCATCTCTAGAAGCAAACTAGGGAACTAACGCAGGGGAACAGAAATACAGAGAAAACTAAACTAAAATGGAACAGAACAGAACAGAACATAAACGTGAGTTTACCAAGCAAGTTTACCACAGTGTTTCAGAAAAGCCATAGGCTATATATTTAGAGCTGGTTATGTGAAGCAAACATTAAAATGTATTAATTTACAAATCATGCACTATGATAAAAGTGTTTTGAGGTCAAAATATAGCATTGTACAAGGAACTGTGCACATCCCGTGAAAGTGAGTTTCAGATGAAGTTTCAGCATTTCTCTGGGGTCACTGATTTAACTTGATCAGATTTAACAGTTCATACAAAAATTTTAATTCTGTCATAATTCATTCAGATTTTAATAAAAGAAAAAAGGTTACAGTGATACAGATTAACTGGAATGCCAAAGCCAAAAGGAAAATGTAAAAAATAATTACAGAAATTACACTAATAGTGCTGTTACATCTGAGTAGATCTGAGCACAGCAAATCTAATGGAGTCACATGCAAGATTACATAGGTTTTTTTCTCTCTCTCACTGCTGTCAACTGAAAAGCACAGTTGTACACTATATAGATATGTGGTTTGCAGAATCTGTTTCCTGAGTAAAGTAAGACCTCAGTGCATCCATTAGTGACAGTTAAGCAACCCTGATTGTGAGCTGCTGGGTATTTTGGGCAGTAGTATGCCTGTGGAAAACAGATAAATTGTGCAATCAGGAGCAAGAAACAGTAATTTTGGCACATTGGAGCATGCATGCTGGATTGTTATTCACTGTGGGACATATAACAGTGAGAAATAAAGCCTTCAAAAGGTAGTCTCGTGGCAAAAGTCTTTTTTCCCTTTTTTCTGAGGACGGAAACATGGAGCCTTTGATAGGCAAATCCATTTTTTGTCCTATCCAGTAAATTTCCTGTTTTCCTGCTTGGCTTTTCATTTCACAATTTCCTTTAGTGAAACATAACAGTGAAATATGAATTTGTTCTATCTATCTATCTATCTATCTATCTATCTATCTATCTATCTCTTATCAACGGGGTCAGATCACATCATTCCAGTCAGACAGTGGGGCACAGGGCCTGAAATAGCCGTATGTCCGGCCTACAACTGGAGGGCAGCTAGGCCACGGAACAGACCTCCTCCCTGGACTGAGGAGTCAGCATCCCATTGCTCCCCATGGAGGACATCGGTCAAGCCCCGGGAGGGGATGTGCATGCACATTAAAACACGAGTGAAGGAGAAAAGGCTGGATGCAGTTCCTCTATCCTCTAGAGCCAAGGCCAGGGACACGCTTTGATTCCACTGTCACCCGTCGGGAGAGGATGAGATCCAAAAATGTGACTGTATGTCCTTTCATGCATGTCTATCTGCCTACTTGTGGCCTTCCTATTTCCTGGCTGGGATTTGGGGTGAGGTCAGGATGTTGTGGGAGGGGAGACATCTGTGTGGGTTTCCTACATGTCGCTTTCTCATCCCTTACTAGTATTTCCTGTGCCTGTGGAGGCTACCAACAGGACACTGTCTTCTTTCCACTGCATCGTCGTGTTTTCTGTCATCACTGTCATTCAGAAATTATTTTCCCCATTTAGATCTATGGGAAGAGCTGTTTCTACCAATACTAAAACAGTAGGAGTCCTTGGTATGAATCAAAGCTCAGTTGAAAGCACGATCAAATAAGCCAAGATCTTTAGAGTTGTCACAGATTCCATGTGGGCCAGATCATTAGCTAATTGCAGCTATTATAAATCTGTCGATGCAATGATGCAGACATAGAAATGGGTATCAAGAGATTAGGCATGTGAATATGGAATCGGTCACTGGAGGCCAAGGAAATGCTGGCAGACCTCTTTCCCATGAACCCTCACTGACCTCCAATGGCAGACCATGCCATATCGCTGACCAGAGAAACCTAACACTTGTTACACCTCATAGTTCACCATGAAATATTGCCATAGGCCGTGGAGCTCACACCAATTATGGTGACTCTGTGCTTAAACCAATAAGCTTCAGAATTTCCTCCACTGAGGCCGCCCCAAGAAGGGTCTCAATTTAAAGTGAAAACACAGTATATAACCTGATGACAAGCCCTTTAAACACAAACCAAGAAACAGACTGAAAGTCTATCAGAGAATTCTGCTTGTATAGTAAGTGATGTATAACAGAAGTGATTGCATGAAAAAAATAACGAAAAAGAGAAAATAATCTCTGCAGCTCCTAAACATGAAAAATATATATTTTAAATAATAACAAAAGTGATGCTATATTTTTTTTATTTCACTGCTCCCATAGGCAGGAAGATCGGCATATTGTGAAAACATTGAGATTTCAAACGCCAACCAGTGTTGGGCAAGTTACTTCCAAAATGTAATTTCAACTTAATTTTTGTTGCTTGTCTGCGCTCGTCCGCCGCCTTTTTCACTTCTCCGACCCCGCAGCTCTCTCCGATAGCTTAGTGTTAGTGGCACCAGTCCAGGTGTTTCCAGGTTTTACTCGTGCTATTTCTCCATGTTGAGAGTTTGGTGTCGCACATATTGCACCTGACTATGCATTCTTATCCTTTTCTCCGATGAACTGAAAATAACAGGAGTGTGTCCATCTCACAAATGTAGAATCCGTCTCTGCAGTCATCTCAACCATCTTAATTCCAGCAACACGAAATAGACAAACTAGTTTACCTGCGGAATTTTTTCTCTGGTGCTGTTTTGCGGTGTTGGTAAATTCACCCCTTAATTTAGAGTTAAAATATGTTGTTGTAACCTGCGTTACTGAGATTGTAACGAGTAATAATATTACCCAAATTTTATTAGTAATAAAATTAGGTATTGTGTTAAAATATTACTGCGTTACAGCAAAAAGTAATATACTACTGTAATATTATTACTTTTGTAATGCGTTACTCCCAACACTTACGCCAACCTTCATAAACAGTAAGACACACTGCTAAAAGTGTTGACACATAAAAAAATTTAAATTCTCTTCAGAGTTTTGAAATATGGTTTTACAATTAGACCTTTAAAAAAGCTGTACAGTCACATTTCATATTATGTCACATCATAATATTATATCTGACAGATATTTAGAGTTTAGTGGAATCTCTAGACAGTAATTAGTTTCCATTATATGAAACACTACAGATACTGTCCTGAAGTCAGTGTTGCGGCCAACAAATGTATTATGCTGTTACATAATAAACCTGTATGTGACATACATGCTAATTCAAATGACAAATCTTCCAATGTAGCTGATTGATAATAGGCTATATCAATTTTGCTCTTGAAGTCAACAAAATGGAAAACGTAGGTTACAAAGCTATGCTGCTTAAAATGATTTTAGCAGTTTGGATTTTAGCACAGACGCAGAACTTGTTATGACAAAGCAGTGAAACACAGGGTCACCAAGCTGCCATATGGTTCTCATTTGTGCAATGTTTAAATGCAGATATCTATAAGTGGGGATCATATAGCTGTAGAGAAACTCATCCTTCTGCCAAAGTCTTCGACCAAGGTGCAGCTATTTGAGGTGCTTCAACAGAGGTGCTGCTATTTGATGTGTAACCAGCCAACATGCTGGAGAAATTAGTTTTCCCACCTTTCCGATCTCACTATATGACACCTGCACTCACTGAGGCTCTTATCTCTTTATTGGGGGATTTACAGCAAAGTGAACTTCTCTTTGTACCACCATCAGGAAACACAGATTTTTGGGACCTGTGCAGAGAATAGCTAGTTTTTGTTGTCTCAAACAGCTCACTATTATGATTGGCTGTTACCTTACCCCCTGACAGGAGGGTCTGGTTTCAGAGGTGTTCTGTTGGAATAAAACTGTGTACATAAGAAATACCACAGCAAAAAAATAATAATATGCAGGATATCGATAACCAGGAAATACCAATGAAGATTAAAGTCAAGGTCAAAATAAAAACATGATCTTGTATCTGCAAGAAGGCACAAAAGAAAGAACGCAATCATTGCTCAAAAATAATAGTTTAAAAAACATATCTGAAGTTCCTTTAAAGCCGTCTTCTACCAACACTGCAGCCTGTGTAGCTTTAAACTGGAATTGCAACTGGACTCATCAAGACCAATTAACAACATCCATTGAACAGGCAAGAATAAAGACAAGGCTCCCTCTAGTGATATATATATCATACACTTTCGACAATGAAAAATGTAATCAAAACTGCAGACATTGCAACAATTGCCCATGTGAATAAGAGAATCAATGCAATATATGAAATATACATAACCTAACTAATTACCAGTTATGGTCAATTCAGAAAGAAAGACTGTGATTGCACTAAAGCAACGAAAATATCATAACCATAAAAAAAAATCATATTTGATTGAATGAATCGTCAATGCATGATTTTTGTAATTTGTGTACATTTGTATTTGTGTGATTTGCTTATAATTAGCATTAATAAGAGTTTTGTACAAAATGAATCTAAAGATAATGAACAATAATCAGGAAAGAGCTGATGTACATGCAGTACGTTAACAAGAAACACCTACACAAACTTGTATCAAAACTTTCAGACAGTTTACACTGATTAGAACGCGACAAAATTTAAACAGTCACTTTATAAGGAACTTTTCGCGCGCAATCAGTTTTGACAGCTTCGTTAATCATAATGTGAAAGTTCTACATTTCCTGCGTTTTTATAAACACGAGCGTTCAAATTTTGCCGCGTTCTATTAAGCTTTCGAAGTGTTTACGAAAATGCGTTCTCACCTGAGAAGAAGGGAATCCCAATCCAAATCCGACAGAAAAACGTAAAATCTCTCTTCATTTCCAGGTTTCCAGTCCTCCGGGGTTTTAGATATTCTAGCAAACCCGCGTGTTTTCTGATGCAATTTAATAAAGCGAGCAGAAGCACCTCAGATTCAGGTGAAACCCAAAGAAGCGTCCCTGAAAGAGGATGTGCCACAGGACGACGGGAATAAAACGCTCTTTTTCCTGTTGAAACGAGAATCCTGAAGTTCTGAATGGATTTACAATCATTTCCTTTTCCTCTGACTCACTCATCTGCCGCTTTTCGTTCACAAACGCCCGTGTCCTCCTCAGTGATACGATTACTCTCCTACATAAAGTGTCTGGAACCTGTGCTTTAAAGTTTAAACTGACAATGCATTTGCACACAACACATATGGACCAGCAGTACATTTGTGTCCTCGATAGTGGACATATGTTTTGTGTTAATATCACCGAATGCCACTGTCCTAGGTCTTAAAATACTGGATTATTATTTATTTATTTATTTATTTTTTGTGACACCAGTTGATTGAGGGTGCCTAAATATAAATGGTTGGTCTCATGAGTATATCTGCAGTGATCTGAAAAGGTAACATCTCAAATGTGAATTGCCCCTACGCTCAGTTGTGATATTAAGTCCTTTGTCAGACATCCAGACCATGATGACAAAGCTGTTATTATCATGATAAATGGAACATTGTCCAAAAGGACTTCACACCCCATCTGACTATTTAAACCTACTCAGATCATTTCCACTTCAAGGCATTGCACAGTATCATAATGCATCGCCTGGATTGTTTTAAATTACTTTTTAAACATTACAGCTTTTTGAAATGTAAGACACCATCTGAAACAATAAATAAATGAAGCAGCAGGCATGTGGTAAAACAGGGACGGGCAGCAATCATACCTACAATATGGACTAAAATTCCAGAAAGTGAGAAGTGCAGTTAGTATTTGTTTGTGCATATGGCAAGCCATTTAACATTTAATTCTTAAAATTTACTATTTTCATGCCACTAGTGCTTATTTTTAGACACTAGTATCTATTTTTACATACTAGTATCTATAGTACTTATTCATGTGCTACTAGTGCTTATTCTTTAGGTTGGCCTACTAGTACTTGTTAAAGATACTGGTACTCATTAGATAATGGTAATAGATAAATTAGAACAAGTACTTATTTTTTAATTACTAGTAACTTTTTAGACCAAAGATTTTCTGAACTTAGTAGGTACTAGTACTTTTTAAATTTACATTTCTGCGCAGTATGCAAATAATACATTGAATATTAGCTGAAAGATATTTTGAGTAGGACTATGTCATGGAGAGAAGGACTCTTATTTTGGCATGCCTCGCATTCTCAGATGCAGATTAATATTCATTATGTTTTATTTTAAGGAATTATAAATACACTCCAAAAAGACACAGTCTCCTGTGGTGGATGTCCTGGGTATTATGGTTGTTTAACTGCCACAAATCAAACAGGACAAGTAAAAAAAAAACATAATAATAAATACATAAATAAAAATAAATGCCATATTAACCATGTATCTTTCATTCAATATGTCAATATATTGTACCATGTGAACTCTGATTGGACAGTTGAAAGGTACTCATTCAAGATTCAAGATTCAAGATTCAAGATTTTTATTTGTCACATACATGGTTATATAGGGAATATATGACCAGCAGTGAAATGTAAGTACTCATGTTTATGTAATGATCTGTTTGAAAGAAGATATATCCAAATATATTCTCACTAGTTCTTTATGAGGTTGAAGATATCTCCAAATGAATAGGTAGTTATTCTGTTTTTGATTTTGTCTATTAATTTCTGACTAGTAATTATTGCAATAGTGACTAGTATATTTTTAAATATTACTAGTACTTATTCATTAAATACTGTTACTTTTCATTAGACACTAGTACCTATTTAATAGATAGTAGTGATTCATTCAAGCACGACGGTGGGCAATATGGCAAAAATATCATGATTTTTTTCAGAAAAATCATGATTCACGATTTTATCATGATTCTTTGTCGTGTTGGTTTTACTATTTTGCAAGCTGTCTGAGCAGTACAACCAAACAAATTTCCCTATTTTAAAAACAAAGCCTTACAAGGAAGCAAAATATAAAATAAAAAAAGAATGGCAGATGTTTAGGCCAAAGTGGGTGAAGATAAAAATTTTTGTCATTATTTTATCTTTGTTATTAAAAAATAAGAACAAAGATACACATTACAAATACACATAATATACAAATAAAACAAACAGTGCTTTATTTTTTCAGGTAGAGCAGGTGTATTTAGCAGTAGCATTCAAGAAATTGAATATAAAAATAAAACACTATACACTTCACTGTATAAATTATACATTTATTCTTATTAAAGGGATAGTTCACCCAAAAATGAAAATGTGATGTTTATCTGCTTACCCCCAGGGCATCCAAGATGTAGGTGACTTTGTTTCTTCAGTAGAACACAAACGAAGATTTTTAACTCAAACCGTCACAGTCTGTCAGTCATATAAAGTGGATGGGAATCACGGCTTTGAGAGTAAAAAAAACAAACAAACAAACAAAACCAAATTAAACCCTACGGCTCGTGACGATACCTTGATGTGTAAAGACATGAAACGATCGGTCTGTGCAAGAAACTGAACAGTATTTATATCGTTTTTTACCTC